CCGCGATGAGTTTAAAAAATTCGCACATGTATTCTTTCAGACTGCGCTCATTTGTGCTGTTCCACACATCCATCTAAACTTATTGCAATATACAATTGCTAAAAATATAATCTACATTTTTATTATAATGGAAAAAAAGATTGAAAGCGTATTTATTTTATCGTAGACATTTGATGGATTGATGAGTGTAGCGTTTCAAGATGAGGCTGTTTTTATAACATCAATTTGTCAAAGGTTATCCCTACAACTCGCAAACTTACGGATAATATATTGAAGCGGATGGAAACCTTGAATATTATTCTATCGGTAAATTGACAAACTTCATTATAATTATTAATGTTTGGAAAGTCAATTCCTTTTCTACGTAATTGCGTCCCAATCATATCTTACTAATATTATAAATGCGAAAGTTTAGATGGATGGATGTTTGTTAGAGTTTGTAGCCTAAACGGCTGAATGGATCTCGATGAAATTTGGTATAGACCTAGAGGATAGTAGGGAAGAACACATATGCTACTCACTTTTATTTTTTTTAATTCCACCCGGACGGAGTCGCGGGCGAAAACTAGTATTAACATAAATATTCATTAAAAAATAACAGGGTCACAATATTTTTGTATAAAAATAAAATATAAAATTTACTTATTACGAGTTGTCGCCCGCAAACTTCGTTAGCGCTAATTTGGACCACACGTTATGCCATTTTGACAGCGCGGAATTAAAAAAAAAGTAGCCTATAATGTGCCTATGTCAGCCACCCTTCAGTGAAAGTCCCGTCTAAATCGACTGAGCTGTTTCGGAGATTACCCGGATCAAACGCGGCTTGCGGACAGACAGACAGACAAATTTTTTTTAATTGCGATTTTCGTTATTAGCAACGCAAATACATCATCTTCCAGAAATCTGCGATTCTTCTTTTGATATTACAAACACAAACAGTCACTCCAATTTTATTACATGTATAAATCAACTAGTTTTCGCCCGTGAATGAAAAAATGTATTTGGTAGCCTTCCACTGTCCTTTACTAACCTTACACCTTTACAACTGTCATGACACTTGTACAAAAGAATATCGTCTCTCATTGTCTTAAAAAAAAACAAAGATAAAGATATATTCTTACAGTTTCGGTAGTGGAAACTCACCTTAAAGGAATGTGATTATCGAGCAAAATGGTTCATTATTATCACTCATGTCTCTAGATAACGTTACTAAATCTTGTTAAGAAACGATGCAATAAATTATCAAGTAAAGGGAAAAATACTGCTCCATAGATGTGAAATAAAACTAATTTATGCAACACAAACAAAAAGGATCATAAATTATTTCGTACGTTAATCAGAGGAGAAAATTCCCGAGTCAAAGCACTTTATCACAACTTTACTAGATATTTCTTTAGGAACCGCCTGCGGACTGTAAATTAATCAGGACGAACATAAATGTGTCGCATAACGTAAGTGATGCGAATAAAGGGGATATCTTTTTAAATAAAGTAAGTTTATGCCAACCAGCAACTGGCACACTTGCATGCCAGGTCTTGCACATGCCAATTAATCTGTGAACACTAACATGCATGC